GACAGAAGGTAGCAGTAGTGTATTTAGATTTTTGTAAAGCTTTCGACAAGGTTCCACATCAAAGATTATTAGTTTCATTACAGTGTCATGGCTTAGACGGTTTCCTCCTTAGATGGATAGAGACCTGGCTGGTAGGACGTAAGCAGCGAGTTGTTTTGAATGGACTACAGTCTGAGTGGGCGGAGGCAAGGCTAGGGGCGGAGGTTAAGAGTGGTGTACCACAAGCAAGGCTATCCACAAGGTACGGTTCTGGCCCCATTGCTCTTTATTATTTTTGTAAACTCTCTGGATAATAATTTAAGCAGTAGGCTTTGGAAATTTGCTGATGACATTAAGCTGGCAAAAGCAATTACATCAGACGAGGACATGAAAACATTACAATCAGATTTAAACATTCTTTTCAATTGGAGCAGAAAATGGCAGATGGAATTTAACGTAGAGAAATGCAAAGTTCTTAGCGTTGGGGTAAATGAAAATGATCGATATTATTTAAACGGCAGTCAACTGCAAAATGTTTTTGAAGAAAGAGATTTAGGTGTTTTAATCACAAATGATCTAAAATTCAGTCATCAATGTCAAGAAGCCCGTAAAAAGTCTCTGAAAATGTTGGGAGTAATATATAGAAACGTTAATTATAAAAGTAAAGACGTTATGAAAAAACTTTATTGTTCCCTTGTTCGTCCACATTTAGAGTATTGTGCACAGGCATGGTACTCGCCCTTTAAAGGGACCCTCCCACCTTAACATTAGTTTTGAGTTGAGATAGCCAAGTTTGCGGCCAGGCTCAGAAACCACCATTTATCCTGGTCGCAACCCCCGCAGCTTTATGGTGTTCAAGAAATTTCTTCCCTTTACTTGCAGGGTGGGACCAGCGTGGTCCCTATCTCTTAACCATTACGGGAATCTGATGACGTCATCAGGCTTTCGAACGTCCGTTAAATGTTTGACTAAAACGTTTTGTAGGACGCGATGGAATATGCTGCTTTGCGCGCAACAAATGCCGCACTTTCAAATAAAGTCGCTAGGAACAGCGGAGATCCCAAAAAGTAAACAAAAGTAAAAGTCTAATATCTTGAAAACCGGTGAATATTTTTCGATGAAATTTGGTAGATATTCGTTTTTGCTCTTTCTAAACCGAGCGACATCACTTTCATGCCAATTCATTAACTTCTTTGAAGGTGGGAGGGTCCCTTTAAAAAAGACGCCAAGTCTCTAGAGCGTGTGCAGAGGAAGGCCACTAGGATGGTGCATGGTTTTCGCGGGATGACTTACAGAGAAAGGCTTGTCTCGTTAAAGGGACCCTCCCACCTTCAAAAAAGTTAATGAATTGGCATGAAAGTGATGTCGCTCGGTTCAGAAAGAGCAAAAACGAATATCTACCAAATTTCATCGAAAAATATTCACCGGTTTTCAAGATATTAGACTTTTACTTTTGTTTACTTTTTGGGATTCCCGCTGTTCCTAGCGACTTTATTTGAGAGTGCGGCATTTGTTGCGCGCAAAGCAGCGTATACCACCACGTGCTACAAAACGTTTTAGTCAAACATTTAACGGACGTTCGAATGCTTGATGACGTCATCAGATTCCCGTAATGGTTAAGAGATAGGGACCACGCTGGTCCCACCCTGCAAGTAAAGGGAAGAAATTTCTTGAACATCATAAAGCTGCGGGGGTTGCGACCAGGATAAATGGTGGTTTCTGAGCCTGGCCGCAAACTTGGCTATCTCAACTCAAAACTAATGTTAAGGTGGGAGGGTCCCTTTAAATATGTTTTCACTCCATTACCGGAGAGTGAGGGGTGATTTGATTGAATTGTTCAAAATTTATAGAGGTATTGATAAGCTAGATTTTAAGAGCTTATTCACGATAAGTTCGAACTCTACAAGAGGACATGGATGTAAATTGGTAAAGAAATTTTCAAAAACGCGTTTAAGGCAATCCTTTTTTACTAACCGCGTCATTGATATGTGGAATAGCTTACCTCCTTGGGTTATTGATAGTTCCTCCCTTAACAAATTCAAACATAACGTGGATTTGTATTTTACGGAGCGTGGTGCGGTCTTTGACACCATTGAAGACGTAGACAACTCTGATAGGTTTCGTTGTTAGGATACACTCATTGCATTCATTGTCATGTAAATCTTGTTCAGTGTGCATGAATGTGTACATCACTGTGTATTTCATCCTTGTAACCTTGTTGGGCTCCTGTAGCCTGTTGTTACATTGTAATATATGTTATGTTATGTTATGTAAATTGCCTTGATTGGCCAATAACCATATTGAGCTACATCTGATATCTACCTATGCCACCCACTCAACACTGAAAATAAATGAATGCCATTAGCTTTATTACATCATCAACATAGCCACTACTATCTTTCATTGCCACCATCTAACCACTGTCATCACCGTCATTCCTGTATCGTCATGCGAGTACCCTCGAAACGCGCCGTCATGCCGTCATGACCAAAACGCACTGTCATTCCCGCCGTCATCTTCCACTCTGTCATTTGTCCCACCCTGCCATTCAGTACCTGTCATGTGATAAGCTATCGCTTGGTGGGTGAGAAACGATCGTGGTGTACCTGTGCTTGGAGTCTGATGAAGACAGGATAGCAGCTGTCGGGATAGCTGATAGTTCGTTTACGCTTGATACCGCCCGATGATGATGTCTCAGCTCAGATGAGTCTGAGATACCGCTTAGTTTTGTTTACTTTAGTTTAGTTAATTTTTAGCACATCATTGACGGGCTGACACCCAATTACTAATGTAGTCATGGATGTAACCATATGTTAAGCGATTGTGTCTCAGTGGATACTGAGACACCATTCGGTGTCTCATATGAAGCTGAGACACTGTTCGATGTCTCAAAGGACGACTGAGGCACCGTTCAGTGTTCCGCTCGACCTGCAGACGAGTGAACTGAATCGGTGCCGGTCGATTGGACTCACTGTCGCTGTCAGCAGCGTTTAGCTACCTGACGGAGTCCCGTCTCTTTAACAGTAAAAGTTAGTGGCTGTCTAGCGGGAGCAATCCACTAACCTGTCAGAACCTAAAGCCATCCATGATGCATGTATGTCAACATGCGAGTCGTCAGACAGTCCGACTCACCTTGCGTTTCAGTAAATGCTGTAATTCGCGTGAGGTGCATTAAAATACGAGAATCTGCAGTCCCACGGACGGATTGAAACCGGGAGAAATCGCTCTCGTCCGTCCTTCCCACATTTAGAGCTCTGTGGCTTCTGGTACTCGGTGGCTCAGCTTTTCCTTCTGTGTGGGAAGCATGACTCGACATTTTGTGGCTCGATCTTCGATGCCCGGAACGGCTTCTATTCTTCCGAGGAATTCGAATCAGTCTTGGTACAGAGGTATTCCGGGGTTATATCTGTTCACATGCTTTCTTCTGATCGTGAATGTGGTAAGGAACAGACAGATGTTGATTGTTTCCCGGTCTTTATCCAGTTTTATCTCCGTTACATTATAAAGTTATGTTTTTTTTTTCGCTTGCGACGTTTATCAATTGCTGGCTCTACTATTCACCTATGTTATGACTTTTTCAATGGGTACTTTATCTTTTCACCCACAGCCCGATCCGGCCAACACAACACTGCGGCGCTAGTAAATACGTTTTTGTCACGTTTGTGTAACAGAGCCGTAGCCCGGCGAGTTTTTCTCACGTATGGACTGCACCACTACATCTAAGAACGGTAATGGGCGACGTGAGTAGCTCACTACGCCCGCAGCTCCATCGTTATTCGCACCGCCCCAGCATATTGTGGTGGGCCTCAGACCGCACTATAGCCACCAGAGCAGTACAATTTTAAATTTCTGGTGTTATATACTAGGCCGCATAGGGCATGAACACCTGCAATCGTTGGCTATTGCCGAAAATGCTAGCTTCCAAACATGGGTTTTAGGACTATCGTCCTGCTTGCTGACGACTAACGGGTGTTTAGTCTAAGCTTTCGATGCTATGTCCGAAGCTTTGGTATTCATTTGCCCTCCCTTCGACCTGCTCCCGGTCGAGAGCGAATGAGGAAGAACCTCTCATGAGAAAGGGGCTCATTTTCAAGCCTTCATTTCCATGGTGGTGCCATTTAGACCGGTGTCTGGTTCAGCTCTCTCCGTCCTATAGCCTGTGTGACTCGTGACCGAGTGAGGCGCTCGCCACCGATTCCCGCACAGCCGCTATTTAATGGCCAAGGATGAGAGCGGGTGGCCCGGCGGAGCGCCGTTACCATCACGCACACTGCAGGGAAGCGTGATGTCGCTCCCATCATAACACGCCTCGGTGCGTGTTGAGCCAGGCCCGGGTCTTTGGATATCACTGCGGTTGTGACGTGTGGAAAGTTGACGAAGGACGCTCTTGCATTTGAGAATTGCCGTGGGAGGCTGAATTACAACGTCTTTTGTCAGTCAGTCATGTCGCAGTCTGAACATTTGTTTACTGGTCATTAACTCCTTAGAATAAATGAGCCATGAGACGATTTTCCGTACCGGTGACCTATAGAACATTGCCCCTGTTTCATCAGTCCTCTGTGTTCTGTGACTCGATCCCCTCCCTCCGGTCACACCAAACTACGCACTGACGCCACAGTGACACCGTAAGTGACGCGCATGACTCCGTGACGGAACAACAATCGTCACACACCGCGGCCTAAACACACGGCCTCACCACACGGTCTCACCACACCGTACCATTTGTGGACTGACGAATAACTACAGTAGGGCGTGAGGGAAAAGGTGAAAAACAAGGGTCTGTTTGAAATCTATTGGACATGAAAAACATAGATTATTATTGGTTCGGATTTACCACCTTTTAAAAACGACGTTAAGAATGGTCGTACACTGGCTTTTAGTTCTGCACCGTCTGACTCCTCCTCCCTCTCCAAGTGCTGCTCTTTCTGACCTCCGCCCTCTCTCCTCAAGTTATGCTCTATTTGACCTCCTTCCCCGCTCCCTCAGGATCTGCTCTGTCTAACCCCTCCCCTCTCCCTCAGGTGCTGCTCTGCCTGCTGCTGGCGGTCATGCTCCTGGTAGACGCTACGCTGGCGGAGCCGATGCGGGGCCGCGGTAAGCGCGGCCGCGGCCGGAAACGTCCCCAGAAGGTGCGCCGGCCGCACCGACACCGCCAGAGGCCTCACTCGCGGCCGCACGGCCGGCCTCTGGTCTACACTCAGCCCGGCAACGAGCCAGAGGTCAGCTACCTGCCGCCGTCACCCACCAAAGAGGCGCCCGAAACCAGCTACGGTCCGCCGGAAACGAGCTACGGTCCGCCGGAAACCAGCTACGGTCCTCCTGAGACGAGCTACAAAGAACCGGAAACGAGCTATAAAGAACCTGAGACGAGCTATAAAGAGCCAGAGAAAAAGCCTGAGACGAGTTATAAGGAGCCGGAGACGAGCTATAAAGAGCCCGAGTCCGAGTATGGACCTCCCAAGAGCTTCACAAGCTACGTTGAACCCACATCAAGCTACAAAGAGCCGGAGACTAGCTACAAAGAGCCAGAAACTAGCTACAAAGAGCCCGAAACTAGCTACAAAGAGCCAGAGACTAGCTACAAAGAGCCAGAGACTAGCTACAAAGAACCTAGTAATAGCTACGAGCCACCTAAAACCAGCTACAAAGAACCTAGTAATAGCTACGAGGCGCCTAAAACCAGCTACAAAGAACCTGAGACCAGCTATAAAGAACCAGAAACAAGCTACAAAAGGCCTTCGACGAGCTACAAGAAACCAGAGACAAGCTACAAGAGACCCGAACCCAGTAAGAAGCCTGAGACTAGCTACAAAGAACCTGAGTCGAATAAAAAATCGAGCAGCGATAGCTATGGACCGATCTCCAACAATCTCAAGGGAGGCTTCGGAGATATCAGCTTCGACGATTTCAGCTTCCCCAGCTTCCCGAATTTCGAGTCGTTCAAGATCAACTTTGACTCTGCGCCGGCGCGTCCATCCTCCAGTGGAGGGTCCTCCGGCGGCGCGTCCTCCGGCGGCAGCTACAGCGCCCCGACGCCGGAGCCGAGCTACCAGCCGCCGCTGAAGGAGGCCCAGCTGCCGCCCACCTTCTCACCGGGATACCAGGCCCCGGTGAGCAAACCGGCGACGGAGAGCCCGGCAAAGGGAGGGTACCAGCCGCCGGCGACTCAGGCGCCGAGCTACCAGCCGCCGGCGACTCAGGCACCGACCTACCAGGCTCCACAGAACTCCTACCAGCCGCCGGCGACTCAAGCACCGAGTTACCAACCGCCGACTACGCAGGCACCCACGTACCAGGCTCCGCAGAACTCTTACCAGCCACCCAGTAACCCAGCACCTCAGAATAGCTACCAGCCGCCAGCCACACAAGCGCCTACATACCAGGCTCCACAAAACAGCTACCAGCCGCCGACGACTCAAGCACCCACTTATCAGGCCCCACAGAATAGCTACCAGCCGCCCGCCAACCCCGCACCACAGAATAGCTACCAAGCACCCAGTAAGCCAACAGCCCAGAATAGCTACCAGCCGCCCACAACACAGGCGCCCACGTACCAGGCTCCTCAAAACAGCTACCAGTCGCCGGCGACTCAGGCACCGAGCTACCAGCCGCCGGCGACTCAGGCGCCGAGCTACCAGCCGCCGGCTACTCAGGCACCCAAATATCAGGCACCTCAGAATAGCTACCAAGCACCCAGTAAGCCAGCACCCCAAAACAGCTACCAAACACCCAGTAAACCAGCACCTCAAAACAGCTACCAGCCGCCCAAAACACAGGCACCCACTTATCAGGCCCCTCAGAACTCTTACCAACCGCCCACTAACCCGGCTCCACAGAATAGCTATCAAGCACCCAGTAAGCCAGCACCCCAGAATAGTTATCAGGCACCCAGCCAGCCAGCACCCCAGAATAGTTACCAGGCACCCAGTAAGCCAGCACCCCAGAATAGTTACCAAGCACCCAGTAAGCCAGCACCCCAGAATAGTTACCAGCCGCCGGCGACACAAGCACCTACATACCAGGCTCCTCAGAATAGCTACCAACCACCCGCCAACCCGGCTCCCCAGAATACCTACCAACCACCGGCGACACAGGCACCAACTTATCAGGCTCCCCAGAATAGCTACCAGCCGCCTAGTAGCCAGGCGCCTCAAAATACCTACCAACCGCCTACCAACCCTGCTCCCCAGAACAGTTACCAGCCACCGACTAATTCAGCACCCCAAAACACTTATCAACCACCGAGTAGCCAGGCACCCCAGAACAGTTATCAACCTCCTACCAACTCTGCCCCACAGAACAGTTACCAGGCACCGAGTAAGCCCGCACCTCAAAACACCTACCAGCCGCCAGCTTCCCAGGCCCCACAGAACAGTTACCAGCCACCGACTAACTCAGCGCCCCAGAACAGTTACCAGCCGCCGACTAACTCAGCGCCCCAGAACAGTTACCAGCCGCCGACTAACTCGGCGCCGCAAAATACCTACCAACCGCCGGCGACACAGGCACCAACTTATCAGGCTCCCCAGAACAGCTATCAACCACCCAGCAGCGCCGCGCCACAAAATAGCTACCAACCACCCCAGAACACCTACCAGCCACCGACCAACCAGGCACCCCAGAACAGTTACCAGGCACCCAGTAAACCTGCACCCCAGAATAGTTACCAAGCACCCGGTAAACCAGCACCCCAGAATAGTTACCAAGCACCCAGTAAACCAGCACCCCAGAATAGTTACCAAGCACCCAGCCACTCGCCGGCAGTGAGCAGTTACCAGCCGCCCACCGCGAGGGCGCCCACCTACCAGCCACCTCAAAACAGCTACTCGTCACCCAGCAGCTCAGCAGCTCCTCAAGACAGCTACCAGCCGCCCAGCAGTTCAGCAGCTCCCCAGAACAGTTACCAGGCCCCCAGCAGTTCTGCAGCTCCCCAGAACAGTTACCAGCCGCCCAGCAGTTCTGCAGCTCCTCAAAACAGCTACTCGTCACCCAGCAGCTCGGCAGCTCCTCAAAACAGCTACCAGCCACCGAGCAGCTCGGCACCTTCCGGTGACAGTTACTCGTCTCCGAGCAGTCCTGCAACTCCCGATGACAGCTACCTGTCGCCTCTGTCTGAGGAAATCCCGCCGTCCGCCCTGTCTCACACAGTGATCTCCGCTGCTAATGTGCTCACTGATGACGCGTGGCTGGCCAGGGCGTGATTCTGAGCTGCAACGGGCACTTATGATCGGGAAGTGTGAGTGTGTGAGCCTCACAAACGCCGGGACGGCGAGTGACGCACGGGGATGCCGACAGAGCTTCTCGAGCTTCTCAGTGGATCATTTCGGACCGGTGTTTATTGCATGGGTCGTTATCTGATGGGATGTTATTTGATAATATCAATGATTATCACATAGGTTTACCTGGTAACACGTTATGGGATAATATCAGTGATTATCTCGTTGGATGTTAATTGATCGGATGTTTTATGGGAAATATCGGTGGTATTCCCATGAGAGCTAACCTCTGGGCTGCTGAAACACGGTACGATAATTGCTCAGAATCACGAAGTGTGCGAGTTACATGTTACATGATATTGTGAGTGCTTGTTTTTATAAGAGTTTTTCTGGAGACAGAGCTGACGCATGCACGTTAATATCTGCTGTTAAATGTCGTGAATGATGTTGCGGTATTTTACATATCGTATCAATGCAAAAGACGTCGTGTGAATATGCAATAAACATTATAGCGTCATGTTTGTTCGCTTTTTCGCCAGCTGTGGAGGAGAAAGAAAAAGTGAAAAGATAAATGAAAGCTCGAATCGCATGAACGCCTCCACAGAGGGTGTATGTAAGCATTACATGGAACAGATCATATTATCGTATATTTGTAGTTCACATCGTTTTTGTGTGACGAATCACATTTAATCGTGCAAGCCTCCTTAACCCTCGCCGGACCTATTGGTTTTCTACATACGCGCCGGCCGAGGGGGGGGGGGCGGGTACGACCCCCCCCCCTCGCCGTTTCGCCCCTGGTGGAGCTAGCGCGTCGCGGAAAAAACGAGCGTGTGCGCCGTTACGAGACACAGAGATTGGTACCCGATTTTAAGGTCCTAGGTCAACCGGTGACCTCTGAGGTCAGGTCAAGTGCCCCAAGGTACGGTTCAGTTTTTGGTGAATAACTTCGCAAAAAACGGCCGCAGAGCGCCGATTTTGGCAGCATCGTGTTCGCCTCGCTCAGGCGCGTCGAATGATATACTTTTTGTCCGGGTCAGGTCAACTTGGGGTGTTGACCTCAGGTCAAGGTCAGGTCAGCACCCCCAGGTCACGAAGTTGGTCGAAAGAGGTCATGTCGCATATCATTCGATTCTGCAGGCCTTCCTGAGTCCATTGGTGCCTTTCCCGACTCGCTAGCTCAATTTGATCAAGAGTTATTGACGAAAAACTAATTTGACCTTGATGACGTCATAAATGACGTCACGCAAGGTCAACATTGCAAAAGTGACGCTCCTAACCTTGCAAGGAGTGCATCAAATCACGATTCTGTGTGCTTGAGATAGTTGGAGATCGTTCCCGGCGCCAGAATAGCACTTTTCATTTTTCCCCATTGACTTATAATGGTGAGGTCACGAAAATGACCTGACCTCATATGACCTTTAGGAAAAATCCGAGATATACAAGTTGTGGGACTCATAATGGATACTAGATCCTGCAAGTTTCATTTCCCTGTGACATTTCCTCTGGCAGTGAGGGCGTTGCGAAGTTGCGACATCTGAAGACCGTGCAGAGGTTCACTTATGACGTCATAGGTCAGTGACCTGACGTGACCCAAAAATGCGGTTGGTGTCAAAAGATGCGGCTTGGATCAAAGGTCAGGTATGCCAAGTTTCAGCTCTCTATCGCCAGCGTGTTCGGAGCTATCGCGAAAAAACCCTATGGGGGGGGCGGCACCCGCCCCCCCCCTCGGCCGGCGAGGGTTAACCCTCGCATGTGTAGGGGGGGGGGGTCGGATGGACCCCCCCCCCCATGGTTTTTCGCGAATAACTCGCGTAAAAAGCGGCCGATCGCGACGAAACTTTCAGTACCCTCGCATTGATCAATTTTACACCTACCCTGAAAATTTCATGACCCTGACCCAAATGACCTTTGACCTGTGACCTCTTTTCCGAGACCATGTTTGGCCGGAATCGCGATTTCGCGTATGTCGGCTCGCACTAGCCGCGTGTTTGCAAGCTTTTCGTGGTTTCAAACGTTCAAACATGTGATTTGATGTTACTCCCGTGTGTGTCAAGGTCACCTGAAGGTCAGGTCAGGTCATTGACCTTTGGTGACCTCGGGTGACCTCGGGTCACTTTTTCGAGTTTTACATGTTTCTAGGCTAGTTTTTGGAGCTGAATTCGAATTTAGCAACCATTTGAACATTTACGAAGTAGTTTTGGTGACTTCGTAACATGCTACGAAGCTGTCAGAGGCGGTTGACACGTACTACGAATACCCGTCACGACGCCTACTGGTTGACCTGACCTGACCTGACCCGACCTGGTCTAAATGCTTCAAGACATCATCTGTGATCAAAACTAACACGATATTTGTGATCAGCACCCCGAAAAACCCCTTAGCAGCCACACTTTACGACTTTCTAACAGGTCCCGATTTTCCCGACTTTGGGTCATTGACCTGACCTGGAAGGTCAACCAATGACCTAGGACCTTAAAATTGGGTATCATCGGCTTCCTCTCGTCACGGGCAACACGCTTGTTTTTTCCGCGAAGCTCTAGCTCGATCAGGGGCCAAACGGCAAGGGGGGGGGGTCCAACCGACCCCCCCCCCCTACACATTAGAAGCTGGCAAACGCCGCACACATGCGAGGGTTAAAGTCTCAAATCGGTCTTACATTGTCGTAGTCGATGCACTGCCAATGATAAACGAATAAGCGATCGCTTTGTTTCTGTAGATTCTATTATCTGAAGAACCGTTTAATTCAGCGCCAATACCTAGTGCTGGGGGCGTTATCAGAATGAAAACGCGTTAGTTCGCGATAAGCGTAGAACATCGCACAGTGGGTTGCTAAATGTAGAAGATTCCTTCGCAGAGATGCAAACGGAACCTGCATTTGTCGACTCTAATGCTGCTTTTACTTTCGATAATCTACAGGCTGGAGTTTGACTTGACGGCGATTCCTTCAATTTCCACACTTGCACCCTGTAAAAGTGAACATTTATCAGACAACCTGCACAGCTGAAAAAGTTTGCATAGAATGGCTGCTAGGGAAGAATAGAATGACGGCTAGTGTGTAATGATAGCTTCGTTATTCGTAGACGGCCTACAAATCACTGTTTTCCTCACGTTGCCCACAAAATGTCTCCTCCCTAATCCCTTACCATCGGAAGAGCGGCGGCCTGGTAGGCCACTCTCGCTGGGAAGTCTCCGGTGAAAACTGAAACAGCAGGCCGTGTAAGCTGAATGGATGAGAGCGGTGAGCACCAGTGCGTGCAACTGGTGCGTGAAGTGGCGAGTCATACTGACACTTCGATATTACGACTCAGCTAATACCGCTTATGACGTCACCTGACGGCAGGCGGGATTGACTCTCACCGTTTCCATACGCAGGCTCCTGATGAATGATTGCACGTCTTTGCAAAATACCCGTATGTCGCGTCATGCAGGAGCAGGACGGAAACCGTATGTCATGGATGTCATGGATGTCATGTTCGGCTATCGTTATGCAATACCTACCTGTTGCAAAACAGACGCAAAACGACATGTGGTTAGGTGTTATATGTCCAAGCTCTAAGTGGACTCGTATTTCATTTTGACCCTCGCCTGTTCTGGACCTTTTTAAACACTATGCACGTTTCTGCCTGGTGACCCGATACTTACAGGTTTTATAGACGTCGTTCACCTTTGCAAAGTCGTTCATATCGGCCAAGAGCACGGTCAGCTTGACAACTGGAAGTGCAAAAGGCGAAACGTCATTTGAACACGGATTTATACACACCGTTTGAACTTTGCTCGGTGTTCCCTGATGCATTCGGCCGGGCCTGATACTATATAAACGCTTTTGCCTTTTACGATTCGTTCATCTTTAGGATACTGTGCCGCAATGCTCAGCTGCCTCGCGGAACAGCATGCAAGACATTGCTCGGCTTCATTGGTGATGATAAGACCATGGGATTGGGAAAAATGTGTATCAAGCAAACAATCGAATGGTACGACTGCCATAACAGCTCATCTCTCCCCGGTCAATATAAAGCCACAGTGACGATCACGGCTAAAATACAAGTAGCCGACAGCGTCGCTCACCGTCTGTAAAGGCCATGCCGGCCGCCTCCAGAATGTGACCGACATTCTCCATGGCCTGTCGGGTCTGAGCCTCTACCCCATCCCGCAGCTGAATGGTGGCCGCGTCCAGACCAATCTGGCCAGAGATGTAGAGCGTGTTGTCCGCCAGCACCGCCTGACTGCGTGCAGAGGTCAGAGGTCAGGTCAGAGGTCAGGTGAGATGGTCCTATGGGAACTCATCACTACTTATTTGGTCATAGAGGTCATGGTCAAGTCAGGAGATGCCACAGAACCAAAGGAGAGGCCAATACAGGAGACGGCATGGATTATGACAACAGGGTATGCAGCTCGCTGAATGAAACGACATTTTCGGAAAGGCTGCTGATTTGGTGTGCCGAAAAGAGTGACCAGTGTGTGACCTGAGAAGTCATACCCTACGCACTTTCAACCAAAACAGGACAGAACAGGACAGAACATGACTTACGCGCGACAGATGTTATGATTTGATGAATGTGTTACGTCTTACATATGACTTCCCAGCTACTCCATCGGCTCTCATTAACCATTCCATGGATGTGAATACCTTCATCACGCAGCTGCTACAAACTGTCAATCGTTGCGTAATGCCTTGAGCCTTTTCCTTTCGCTTACCTACTTTTCACTTCCGTTCATACGATGACTAGTCCCGATATTGAACTATCCCCTCTTACCTGTAAGGAAACTGCGGCGCCGCTCCCTTGTGCGTGCTGATGATTTTCTTCATGGCTGGGATCCTGACGTGAAGCTGATGGCGGCGAAGTGACGTTGGACGTGCGGTACAGAGCAGAGAGAGGCACCGTACTGTAACTAGACGGTGATGGTGGGGCAGGCCTGAGTCCGATCCGGCACTGGTCCCTGGGCCTGGTCCGTCAGTGTTTATTATAAACACAGACTGAGACGCCATACCATCTGCCGACAACTAGACCCACTCTGCTCTGCGGTGGGGTCAAAAGAAGGGCTGGGATAATTGTTGAAGGGGAATTAATGCTTTTAGACACTTAACGAGAAATTTGAATACGTTTCGCCTGGTAATGAATTTAAATGCAAATTTACTTGGGCTGACAAATCTATCTCTCAAATGGAGGGTTTTCGTTTGTCACGTTAACTTGTAGCTGTATAGAATAATAAAAACATATATTTTTAGGTATGTGGGGGTCCAAAAAGGTTGTATGCATTTTGTCAATCATCGGAAATCTTTCTACAAATGACTCGCGAATGTTATAAAAAAAAATCATGACCCTCAGCGTCCCAGCTGTTCTGGCCGACCGTCCCGGCGCGTGCTGTGACAGCTGGCCCCAGCGGACTCTCACCTGTGTCACCAGACAGAATTCACATCCGACCGCACGCTGGCCGTCATCTGACCCCCCCCCCCGACCCCGCCCACCGGCACTGCTCGGCCCCCACCGCCTCTTCATGAGCGCGTGACCCATTACAAGGGGCGCGCCCAAGAGCGTTTATTCTGGGCGCTGAGCTAGCGTTATTCGTTCATGCCTCGGCTTTTTATAATGAATGTAATTAAACTTAATCGTTATCTTCGTCGTCTTAACCTTGTTTAAGACCGTGACTGACGATCCCATTAACAACCCTGGCCCCGCCGCTGCCGGCAGCGCAGCCGCCAGTTGGCAGGCTCGTGTCCTTGATGCTGGGGGCTCGGCCGTCCGGCTGACGGGCGGGCGGTGGCGCGGGGGTCGGCAGTGTTTGGGTTAGCCGGGCCGGCCGTGGGGCGCGTGGTGTGGCAGCGGTATACCCTCCCCCTCCACTCTGTGCCTGGTGTACTCCGTCTGTGCCGCGTCTGGTACTGCTGTGCTCACGCCCACCGCCAGTGGCCCTATCGCAGTCGTCCCCCAGCTGCGACCATAGGAGGTCAGGTGTCCCGCGCAGGCCGGCTCGTCATGAAGCAGACCATCCACACGGATAAGGCGCCGGCCGCCATCGGGCCCTACAGGTATGGAACGGCCCGGGTTCGACCGAGATCTGAATCCATTTGAATAGCTTAACTGCGGCCGAGAGAGGGAAGCGTGCCGTCAGATTACTACGTACTGCTGGCGTGACGTTTCATTTTGTCTGAAACTGACAGGCGGAGTGGCCCACTTGAGGTCTCATTGTGAAGCGGAATATCGTCATAATCGTGGCATATCACCCTGGTAGAAGTGTATCAGCAGGGCGGGTGTAACTTTATCCGATTCGTCGGCAGATTATAGGGGATGAGCCCTCGAACCATAGCTAATAGTGGTGTGAGGTGCTCGCCTGAGCTTTATGTGGTTCGTTTTCTTTTCCTTTTTTACCTGACCTCTCAATTAGTCAGAATAGGAACTATTCGTGACCTAATCTGTAACCCAGACGCACTAATCTGAATTCTGAGCTGACCTAATATCTGACCTGACCGGCTATTACCAAAGTGAAACGGACAGGACAGGACGGTGGCCGTCATTCAGGGGTCATTGACCGGACCGGTGACCCGACGTCTCTGACCAATGCTGGGCTGCTTCGGTTTAGACAGTGTTACCTTATGCGAAGCCCAATAGGTGACATTTATCTGACCTCTTATCCGCATCTAACTAGACAGAACTGACCTGACCTGATCGCAGTCAGGCGATGCTGAACTTACCTCTGACCTGACCTTTGAACCGCAGCCAGGTAGAGCTGACCTCAGGGGCGGATCCAAGGGGGGGGTCACATGGGTCATGGCCCCCCCCCCCTTGAGGCCCGGGGGCCCAAAGACCTGCCAGGGGCACCACCGGCCTATCGGGGGTATCACAGTCCTGACAGGGGCACCACAGGACCGCCAGGGGCACCACCGGCCTAGAAGGGACACCACGGGCCTGGTGCCCCTGGGCCCTGACAGGACTGTAACGCCCCTGACAAGCCTGAAGTGTCCCCGGCAGGCACGTGGTGCCCCTGACAGGCCTGAGGCGCCCCTGCAAGGCCGGTGGTGCCCCTGGCAGGCCTGTGGTGTCCATGGCAGGCCTGTGGTGCCCTTGCTAGGCCTCTGGTGCCCCTGACAGGCTTGTAATGCCCCTGGAAGGACTGTGGTGCCCCTGGGCCCTGACAAGCCTGAGGTGCCCCTGACAGGCCCGTGGTGCCCTTGTTAGGCCTGTGGTGCCCCTGGCAGGCCTCTGGTGCCCTTGCTAGGCCGCTGGTGCCCCTGGCAGGCCTCTGGTGCCCTTGCTAGGCCGCTGGTACCCCAGCGCCCGGAGAGGACTGGTGCCCCTGAAAAGTCTGAAGTGCCCCTCGGCAGGCCCGTGGTGTCCCTGACAGGCCCAAGGTGCCTCTGCGAGGCCGGTGGTGTCCCTGGCAGACCTCTGGTGCCCCTGGCAGGTCTGTGGTGCCCCTGGCAGGTCTGTGGCGCCCCTGGCAGACCTGTGTTGACTGGTGCCCCTGCTAGGTCGCTGGTGCCCCTCACAGACCTGTGGTGCCCCTGGGCCTTGACAGGCCTGAGATGCCTGGCTATGACAGGCTCGTGGTGCCCCTGATAGACCAGTGGTGCCCTTGCTAGGCCTGCAGTGCCCCTGGCAGGCCTCTGGTGCCCCTGCTACCCCTGCGCCCGGAGAGGACCATGGTGCCCCTGAAAACCCTGAAGTGCCTCTCGACAGGCCCGTGGTGCCCCTGGACCCTGACAGGCCCAAGTTACCCCTTCGAGGTCGGTGGTGCTCCTGGCAGGCCTCTGGTGCCCCTGGCAGGTCTGTGGTGCTCCTGGCAGGCCTGTGTTGACTGGTGCCCCTGCTAGGCCGCTGGTGCCCCTCACAGGCCTGCGGTGCCCCTGGAAGAACTGTGGTGCCCCTGCCCCTAGGGGTGCTCATGGGGCCAACAGGCCCGTTGTGCCCCTGACAGGCCTGTCGTGTATACTTGCTAGACCTGTGGTGCCCCTGCTTCCTGGCAGGCCTGTGGTGCCCCTGGCGGGCCTGTGGCGCCCCTACAAGGCCGTAGGTGCCCCTGACAGGTTTGTGGTGTCCCTGGAAGGACTTTGGTGCCCCTGACAAGCCTGAAGTGTCAAGGACAGACCCTTTAGACGCCAGGGTCAAGTTCGTCGGACTGACGATTTGCTTACCTGATAACGTTCCTGGTAAGTACTCACTACTCAGCGTCCACAACATATATACACATAGCACATTCATATATACTTGCTTACAATTGGTAAATGTGGTTGTGGCTTAGAGTTAAGACACTGACTAAAAATAAAAAAATAAAAAAAAACTGAAAATGGGGGCACCACCAAAATAAAGTGGACGAAATCCGTTGAGTTTTTAATTTTGGGTATAGGTAGGGGCACCACTTCGATTCATGACCCTCCCCTTGGAGTTTTCCTGGATCCGCCCCTGGCTGACCTGACCTGACCTGTATCCCACAGTCTGACAGTGACTTTACCTCTGACCTGGCCTGTATCCCACAGTCTGACAGTGACTTTACCTCTGACCTGGCCCGGCCTGTGTCCTACATTCAGACGGTAACCTGAGCTGTGACCTGACCTGTGACCGGCAGCCAGGCGGTGCTGGTGGACCGGACGCTGTACATTTCCGGCCAGCTGGGTATGGACACGTGCGGCCAGCTGCAGGAGGGCGTCGAGGCCCAGACACGCATGGCGCTGGAGAACATGGGGCACATCCTCCAAGCGGCCGGCATGAGCCACAGCGACGGTAAACCACCGACCGCGGACAGTCGACTGGGGCTGGTGGGACGGATGGGACGCCGTGGGACGCCGTGGGATGGGCGGACGGACATATATCCTCCCTGGGATAGAAGGGTGGGGGCGGCGGCGCGGGATAGATACCTAAGGCAGTCGCGGGGGACATATAGACACAGTGGGACTTGTCAAATGGGCATTCCGGATCGGGGAAACTGTGAAATGTTCGGAGGGACAGTCCCATTTATGGTTCTTCCGATTTGCTGTAGTGATATATGATAAAGACGGCTTCAATCCTCTGGTTTATTATTCACTTTGATTCGTTTGTGTGCTTTCAGTTGTCAAGGCGACCGTCCTCCTTGCCGATATGAACGACTTTGTGAAGGTCAACGATGTTTACAAGACATGTAAGTTGCCGTGGACGGGGTCGGGGCCGGTGTTTGTTATTTCTCAGGACATGTGTCACAGTCGGACATGTGTTACACAACGGACATGTATCCCGCTCGGCGCTCGCTTACGATGTGGCATAGAAATATGACAAGTACGACCGGCATTGCCGTAGGTTGTAATCAGAGATCCCCGTAGCGGGTGTGACCTCTTTCGCTGATACTAGTCTGACGGGGGCCGTGATAACAGAGGTGGTGGCCTAGGTTACGAGCGACGATGTCTTCCCGAATAATCAGAGTTTAATTCATTCCGTAACTGGATCACTCCGTAATTGAGTCGATCGTTCCGTTTCAGTTTTCACCGAGCAGTTCCCTGCGCGTGCCGCCTACCAGGTGGCAGCACTGCCCAAGGTGAGATTTCCGCAACTCTTGGGAGTGGGACTAACGGAAGGATCGACGATCTCGAATCTAGTGACTACCTACTGACTGAACTTCTGCTGTTCACTATTCAATTACAGATCTCGGCTCAAGAATATACCTATATCATTCCTGCTCTGTAAAGGGCTCATCCACTGGTTAAAAGAAGCAAAAGAAGTATCTATGCCTACATTTGTTCGGTAGATGACGCTACAACGTGCGCCCGTAGCACCGACTCGAGTAGGCGCACAGCCCAAGGCCGTATAACAGCCTACATTATTGCCAGTAGATGGCAGGGCGATAGCGGCCTGCAGCTATACTGTCCCGCATTACACCTTGCTTATATAAATACCGCTAGATGGCAGTACAATAGTGCGCCTGCAGCTACACTGTTCCGCATTGCACCTAGCTTGTATGAATGCCGCTAGATGGCAGTGGGATAATGCGCCTGCAGCTATACTGTCCTGCATTGCACCTAGCTTATATAAATGCCGCTAGATGGCAGTGGAATACTGCGCCTGCAGCTAAACTGTCCCGCATTGCACCTAGCTTATATAAATGCCGCTAGATGGCAGTGGGATAATGCGCCTGCAGCTATACTGTCCCGCATTGCGCTTAGCTTATATAAGTGCCGCTAGATGGCAGTGGGATACTGCGCCTGCAGCTATACTGTCCCGCATTGCACCTAGCTTATATCAATGTCGCTAGATGGCAGTGGGATAATGCGCCTGCAGCTATACTGTCCCGCATTTCACCTAACTTATATAAGTGCCGCTAGATGGCAGGACGATACTGCGCCCGCAGCTATACTGTCCCGCATTGCATCTACCTAATATAAATGCCGCTAGATGGCGGCACAATAGTGCGTCTGCAGATACCGTCCCGCATGAAGCGTAGCCTATATAAATGCCGCTGGATGGCAGTGTGATACTGCGCATATAACTTTCCAGACCGGGACTAATGCGACGTCTTCTGACCCAAGGTTTGCCCCCCCCCCCATGTCCCGACTCCCCAGGGTGGACGTGTGGAGATCGAGGCTGTGGCTGTCAAGTCGGCCTAGATGACGCCCGCTGGATGCCGAGTAATACCACACACTGGATAATGGCCCGGTCTGGTGCGGTGACGGTAATCAACTGTCATGGAAGGGTGATAGATGTGGCGGCAAGTGATGTGATAAGCGTCAGGTGATGTCACGTGACCTCAGGCGCACCAGTCGAGAGTCGAGGACGGAGAGGAAGACCGGCCTCTGCCGATTTGTCAGTGCGCAGCGCCGATGATGTTAGGCTACATTTGTTATTTTTGTCATTTCAATTAGAATGCATTAGTTATTCGACAATCGACATTCTTCCGGTTGTTTGTTGACCTGGTACCAAATACGAGCGCCTGAAGCGACCACCAGTCAGTAAACGCCTAGGACAGCTAACAGCACCATTATGCTGTGCCATTGTAACGAAAACACAAGAGAATATGGTGTATACACAATCCGGATGTGTAGCCTAACTCCATATTACGTGCACACGGGACGCGAGTGACACGTGAAGCAGTGATCGTGTATTCTCCGCCTTTCCATAGGTATAGGATAACAATAAAACTTACCACCAACAAGGCAGTGAACAAAAGGTAATCAGATGACACCAGCACTATACAGCTACAACGTTCATCCCAAGGGTCGAAAAACGCATAACAAAATACCACCCATATGTAGCAGAAACATTGCACTCAGCCGAAGCAGACAAATGAAACATATGTATCGAAAACAAGCAGACGGATCCTCTAGTTCCGGCTAGTCCCGGCTAGAGTTGGTTTTGATGCTTCTCCCCTAATGCTACACCCATCCACTAACAATAATTATAATCAATGTTGATCACTGATTATCAATTATCGTTGGTATCACTGATACCATCGAAAAAAATGAATAGGCCATTGCTGAAATACTGCTACCCTTTCTTACGCTCTGCTTAAGACGAGCAACCATCGCTTTATTGTTCTTCATGGGCATTATTCAGCGAAATTACGATCGATTAAAAAATGATGGAGCGACCTTTCCATAACGACGGTTCTCGTGATCCTTTGAAAAGCGACTTAGGGGAGGGTCGTACTAAGAAAGACTATCATTTGAGTCGCATTGTCACACTAAGACGTGCACTACTACTATAGATCTCGCGCCACTCAGGCAGGGAGCGGTGGAAGCGAATACCATTCAATGGGAACGCTGGTGTAAACTACAATCATTGTGGGAGGAAGCCATCCCGTAAAACTCCGAACGTGGGGTCCAGCGGTGTGTGGACAGTCCACGGAGTTAGCGGTATCGCTTAGCAAGTATCGCACTTACCAAAACAACTAGCTTATGGGCGTTGGAAGGCTTCATGCTCATCGTGTTCCAACTAATTCCTGAAAATATATAAAACCTGACACAGGTGTTATTACAATGATGGGACACTAAATGCTAAGTAAACACACCATCTATCCCTACAGCCCACTACCTATAGTTGATCTGATGGTTCGCAGTGCTAACGTGTCGGTATTACCACCGAACAAGCATGAATATCATAATATGCCATAAACGGACAGGGGGATATCTTACGGCGGGCGAGTCGGTTACACGGCCTCGGTGCATGGTACCATTACACGAATCAGTGTCAGGGTCAGTTTCAGTAACGCATGTCGGTGTCCATTGTCGGTGGCCATTACCAGCTGTCAAGCGAAGAGGCTGAGGTAACCTAGCCTCTGCCTGTGCTCAGTCAGTACCCGATCAGAGTGTCAGTCAGCGGTGTTACGTCAGTGATACGTCAGTCATGTTACGTCAGTGTTGCGTCAATGTTTTGTTGATGTTCTGTCAGTGGTGTATCAGTAGTGTTTCGTCAGTGTTCTGTGTGTTCCGTCAGTGTTTTGTGTGTTCCGTCAGTGTTCCGTCAGTTACGTCACTCGTCAACATCCCGTTGAAGATCCGTCAATGTTGGCATTCCCTCAGCTGAGTGCTACATCAGCAGTATTCCCTCAGCGCCCGTCAGTGGAGTCCGGCCGGCCAGAGGGCGTGCGCCAGCAGCGGCGTCAGACACCCAGTGACGATGGTCATCAGCAGGTTCACTGAGTGGTTGTCGAGCAGCGGGCGGCCGCTGATGGGACGCACACCGGCCCCGGGACGCTCCACCACCACTCCCTTCTCGGTCACACCTGGGGAGGAATAGAGAGAGAGAGGAAGGGATAAGAGGGACGGTCCATCACCACGCCCCCTCAGTCATAACAGCATCACACGTACGCACGGGGAGGGGCACGGATGGGTGTTTCGGTCTCCGAGTCTCACAATCACTCAACACTGTCACATCTCCGACTGCTTATCCCGAGTTTAACCGTGTTCATGTGTAGGCTTTCTATGGTATTGAGATGATGGTTTGAGTTTAAGGACGCGTCGGCGACGAGCGTCATTTGGCGCAGCTCTATAGTATTTGTCTATGGTATCTGAGCGAGTTTTCCGTACCCGAGAATTGCAGCGTGGCTCCCAGCAGCGAGTCGACGGTGCTGCCCAGCAGTCCGGCCAGCAGTCCGACGGTCACCAGCGGCCACTGGGGCGGCCGGGTGGCCAGCGAGCGGTCGCCCAGCGCCGCCAGCTGTGTCAGCCAGCAGGCCAGCCCGACCAGCGCGCCGCCCAGCAGGCTGGCCAGCGTCCCGGCCAACGACACGCCGCCGTTGGTGCCTGAAGAGCGAACGGGCGGGGGGGGGGGGGGTGTCAGAATACATCGGAATGATTGCTATCGACAATGTAGGTAGGTTTGAATAATCAAAACTGATAGAAAGTCTGTGAATCTTTTTTATGTAAAAAATATGGGACAAGTTTAAGTTGCATTGTTCCCAAGATTGCTGCACCACTGACAAGCATAGCATCCTTACCCTACCAATAGAGCTCTTACCGATATCGGTAGCCAGTTATCATTCTAGACTGATGATACCGGACCCTCCCGCTACTTTCCTTCAGTTTCCACCACAACCACCCGCCCTGACCGTGACCACATCGTCTCACCGGTGGGCACTTTTCGCAGGTTGGTGATGAGTCGCGGCTGACCCCGCGCCAGAACCGTCCCCAGCTCGGACGCCCACGTGTCTGCGTTAGCCGCCGCCAGCGACCCTGTGACAAAGATCATGTGATCGGCTCCGACACCCACGTGTCCGCGTTAGCCGCCGCCAGCGAGCCTGTACAAGTAGTCAGGTGATTCAAATCAGGCCACAGCACCACGGTAAATATAGTATATATGTTGTCCAGATTGGAGTTATAATCTAGAGTAGCAGAGAGGGATATTCGGTCGAACTTAAATTCTTCAACATTCTCAGCATTTAGACGAATACCGTAAACTCAGCATGGTCGCTAGTATAATCTATTGATCCACTGACACTTCCACCCCGTCCTCCTCTCTCTCTCTCTCTCTCTCTCTCTCTCTCTCTCTCTCTCTCTCTCTCTCTCTCTCTCTCTCTCTCTCTCTCTCTCTCTCTCTCTCTCTCTCTCTCTCTCTCTCTCTCTCTCTCTCTCTCTCTCTCCTCTCTCTCTCTCTCTCTCTCTCTCTCTCTCTCTCTCTCTCTCTCTCTCTCTCTCTCTCCTCTCTCTCTCTCTCTCTCTCTCTCTCCTCTCTCTCTCTCTCTCTCTCTCTCTCTCTCTCTCTCTCTCTCTCTCTCTCTCTCTCTCTCTCTCTCTCTCTCTCTCTCTCTCTCTCTCTCTCTCTCTCTCTCTCTCTCTCTCTCTCTCTCTCTCTCTCTCTCTCTCTCTCTCTCTCTCTCTCTCTCTCTCTCTCTCTCTCTCTCTCTCTCTCTCTCTCTCTCTCTCTCTCTCTCTCTCTCTCTCTCTCTCTCTCTCTCTCTCTCTCTCTCTCTCTCTCTCTCTCTCTCTCTCTCTCTCTCTCTCTCTCTCTCTCTCTCTCTCTCTCTCTCTCTCTCTCTCTCTCTCTCTCTCTCTCTCTCTCCTCTCTCTCTCTCTCTCTCTCTCTCTCTCTCTCTCTCTCTCTCTCTCTCTCTCTCTCTCTCTCTCTCTCTCTCTCCTCTCTCTCTCTCTCTCTCTCTCTCTCTCTCTCTCTCTCTCTCTCTCTCTCTCTCTCTCTCTCTCTCTCTCTCTCTCTCTCTCTCTCTCTCTCTCTCTCTCTCTCTCTCTCTCTCTCTCTCTCTCTCTCTCTCTCTCTCTCTCTCTCTCTCTCTCTCTCTCTCTCTCTCTCTCTCTCTCTCTCTCTCTCTCTCTCTCTCTCTCTCTCTCTCTCTCTCTCTCTCTCTCTCTCTCTCTCTCTCTCTCTCTCTCTCTCTCTCTCTCTCTCTCTCTCTCTCTCTCTCTCTCTCTCTCTCTCTCTCTCTCCTCTCTCTCTCTCTCTCTCTCTCTCTCTCTCTCTCTCTCTCTACCCCTCTCCCCCGTCCGTACCAAGCACCGCCAGGGCGAGCACGGAGCTGTGGAAGTGCTCGTGGAAGTCGATCGGGTGCTCGTGGCAGCCGCACTCGATCATGTAGAGGCAGGCGAACTGAGCAGCCGCTCCGCCGTTACAGAGCACCTGGCGCCAGTTGCGCTGCCCGCCTGTCGGTAGTTGGCGGTGGGAGGGAGTGTAGACGGGGTGAGAATCGGAGCAGGGAACAGCGCTGGTGAACGGGGGGGGGGGGGGGCTCACAACTGTACGGTGATAAGTACAAAATATTCAGATAACGACCGCGATTTGGTAAGGTTCGTGATTAACCCTCGCCCCGTTGGGGGGGGGGGGGCAATTTGCCCCCCCCCCCTGTGGTTTTTCCTGAATAGCAAGAAAACTCAGTACCTTCCCGGGCATCAATTTGACACCTTCACACAAAATTTCAAGTCTTAGGTCACCTTAGGTCAGGAGTTATTGAGGTCAAACTGAGGTCATGTTCGAGCAAAAATGAGCAAAAAACATGCAATCTTGAAACGCTCACCAAATCTACAGCTAGGTACCAAGCAATTCAATGTTCTTTATATGATCATGTAGACAAAAAGCGGCGCTACAAAACTGCTATCTCGGATTTTCAAAATTTGGGGTTTTTGACCCCCGAAAATTAAAAAAAAAAGATTTTTCTTTAGAAAACTCAAAAAAAATCCAAAAAATTCCCGAATTTCGAAAAAAAACGGAATATATGTGATATTCCCTGCGCTCTTCTATATACATACCGAATTTCAGATCGATAGCTCGTTTTTGGCCAAGTTATAGCGATAAAACTGTTCAAAAATGATGACGTCAAATTTTTTTTACTCGATTTTTAGCGAGTTTAGACCACGTAGGGCAAAACAAAGACCACCATTGAACTCCCCGTGACGAGCTGCATCGAATCGATACCCGTTTTATGCAAAAATATCAACTTTGAAAATTGACCTAATTTGACCTGACCTTGACCTCACCTTGACCTGACCTTCACCAGAACATAATCTAAACTGACCCCAAAGGCTGCCTGACCCACATAATCGTATTTGGCATATAAAATGGACCATAATACATGCATCACATGATATTTTCATATTGTGACCCTCAGTGACCTGACCAGTGACCTCTGTGACCTGACCTGGTATCAGTGGCCTCAAATAGCAAAATATGTGTTTGAAGAACATTTCCCCATAGACGATTTTCAATGAAATGCATTTTACTCCATTTTACAACGCATTTCTTGAAATGCCTGTAAACGGTGAAAATTCGACCCTTGACCTGACCTTTGACGTCATCGGTTTGACCTAGGTCAATGAAGTTGGGTCACAAGGTAGTTCCCTGATGGGGCTATCCAACACCGTTTGCCGCTTGTCGCTAGGTTGCGTGGTTCTCGAGATCTTAGGGGGAGGGGGGCAAATTGCCCCCCCCCCCTCCAACAGGGCGCGTTGCTCGGCAGAGCCCAACGGGGCGCAGGTTAATATCCCGATGCTGAATAGAAGTGCTCAAGCAACAAACTTGAAGTTGCAAAAATCAATATGTTTGCCAGATCACACTGATTATCAGTATACATCACTAAATAATCAGCTTCGAAGCATCCCAACATCGACATACCTAGTATCGCGATAACAACATTGCAACATCGGTTGCTTGTAAGTTGTAAGTACATACCTTCTTTAAAATCATCTTCAAACTTTTGTTTTTGCTTACTCCTAAACTTGGTCGCCTTCGATGATGAGAGGAAGAATGTGAGAAGCATAGCCAGGAACGTCCAGTTGGCCAGAGTGAGCAAAAAGCCGACTAAAAACCCTGAGAACACCGGCATGTGCGGTCAGCAAAGCAAATAAGGAATCCAGTAACAACGAGGGGCAATTAAATCACCGGGCAGGCCTATAGCGAGACGTTAATACTGTACTTTAGCGTTATAGCGTAACAATCAACCAACGATCGAAAGAACTGAGAACTTATGACGGTGGATAGGTATCGACTACGACCGATTAACGACCGGCCACTCTACAATCGTCCAAGGAAACTGACAGGCGACAGACAATTAGCATCATGCTCCGATCGCACTGGTGCTGCCGACTGACGGTGGCCACTCACCGGCGGCGGCGCCGCTCCTGTCCAGGCTGCCCTTCCTCAGGCCGTGGTGGGCAATCGCCACCGGCACCACCAGCGCCGCGATCCAGCGCACCGACGAACATGTCTCTGAAACTGGCCCGTTTAAAGTCGGATAACTCCTCTAGCATACCTTCAGCAGGAAGAAAATGTTATTTGTGCAGGGTCAAGCTGCAGATGTGACTTTGAAAATAAAATCATACACGCTGGCCTTTAGAGGTTGGTATCAGGCAATGATTAAGAAAATAACTCAGAGTAGGGAACCAAAGGAGAAGGTTCGAAATTGGAGCAACCTTGGTAATTACAAGTAAAAAGCAATTCAAGGGCAGGTTCATGAATCATCAGAATTATCGTGCTATGATGCAACTATTCATCCTAAATAAACACCAGGTCATCTTTTCCTTACCATCTCCAAACATCCAAAGACTTGCATAATTAAATGCCCAAAAACCAACAGACAGAATTAATGCAATGCAATAAACTGCAATGATCATTATCATATGCAAGATCAATGGACCAAAATTTACCAAAGCCCTCCAAACCTTTTAATATATCAGGCTTCCAGCAAGCTTAAGTTAAGATGTTCTTAGAGACAACTACTTTCACTAGATTTTCTTGTATTAGGTATCAAAGTTGTATGAAACTTTCCACGGTTTCAGGTTTCTTATGCAGAAAATTAGAGCTGAAATTGAGACTGTCAATGTCAATGTTGGATAAAAGAACAGTGATTTATATTAGAAGAATAGGGGATAATGCAACACTTTTTTATTTATTTAAAGGGACCCTCCCACCTTAACATTAGTTTTGAGTTGAGATAGCCAAGTTTGCGGCCAGGCTCAGAAACCACCATTTATCCTGGTCGCAACCCCCGCAGATTTATGGTGTTCAAGAAATTTCTTCCCTTTACTTGCAGGGTGGGACCAGCGTGGTCCCTATCTCTTAACCATTACGGGAATCTGATGACGTCATCAGGCTTTCGAACGTCCGTTTAATGTTTGACTAAAACGTTTTGTAGCACGTGGTGGTATATGCTCCTTTGCGCGCAACAAATGCCGCACTTTCAAATAAAGTCGCTAGGAACAGCGGAGATCCCAAAAAGTAAACAAAAGTAAAAGTCTAATATCTTGAAAACCGGTGAATATTTTTCGATGAAATTTGGTAGATATTCGTTTTTGCTCTTTCTGAACCGAGCGACATCACTTTCATGCCAATTCATTAACTTTTTTGAAGGTGGGAGGGTCCCTTTAAGGTCACATAAGAGCAAGTCCAACTCACTTCAAATGCTCATCATAATTATGAATATATTATAACACCTAGTATTGCAATTCAAATCAACGATATACCTAAGCTGTTTTTAAAACACTTGAATTCAAAAACGATATTTCATTAGCTCACTTAGCTGTGAATAACTGTGGAGCACATTACTTAATACAGGTATAGGCACCATTCACATTTCAAATATAAACTTATTAGGTAGGTAGGTAAGGAGACAGGTATCAAGACAGGTGCCTTGTAGCTTTATTACACCCTTTATCCATCTATTTTGTAGGGACAGGGAAGCATCATGCAAATTTGGATAAAGACTCTTGCTGCTTTCATCTAGGCCTACTGTCCTTTCTTTTAGCAAGGCTTCTGTCCAAGTGGCTTTCTAGACAGGTACTTGTCCATTGTAAGTGTGTGTGACTGTGTGGTCTAGCGGATAAGGTGTCTGTCTCCTAACTCAGCGAGGGCAAGCTTTTGACCTGAAAGCTCCCTGTTGTTTGACCAGCATTCCTAAATTGGTTGGGCCAGTTGGTACCTTCCTGGCGAGAGGGCCATGCTAGTACTGGGAGGACTGTGCTACCCAGGGTATATAGAACAACGTGCTACCTGTGGTACATTAAATTTTTTATTCTATCTATCACCTTCACCAGTGACTCAGGCACAGGCAAGTCCAAGGGGTGGGTCTGTCAGTGACAGACCCACCCCTTGAAGAGTGACAGACTGTCACTCTTGTCTTTGTCTTGTAAGCACATTTCTAGTGAAAACGAAAAAAAGGATATATCTAAGGTAAAATGCTTAACACAGGAAAAGAGAACGCCTACACGCTTGCAGTAAAAAATATATGAAACTTATCATGGGCTCTGGTATTAACTGGATAATTCGCCAGCTGACGCCGTATGGTGGCGCTAGTGGAGCAGCACCATATGACGTCAGCAGAAAACACCGTGAGCAGCTATGAAATGGGAGCGAGCACCACGGAAATATCGAAAGGTGATGGACATGTACTGATTTTGGTCATTCAAGTACCACCAACACCATACAAAAACCATATAATATCATCAAGACTGATTCTGAAATCGATTCGTTCGGGTATTTAAAACACATAAAAAATGTTTGTTACCGAATTCTGAAACAGTATAAGGATATTCTTGTTCCTTACTTTTACTTTGTGGAGTACTTTTACTTGCTTTCTAGTGCGCCCATCACTATCTTGAAATCTGGATTGCAACGCTGTAGGAAAACTTTTTTTCATTTGTCATTTCTTCCACTTTTGAGCAGTGATAATTTATTTGGTTTTATACATTAAATAATGAATAAGGCTCCTAACTTTTAAGGGATCTGCAGTGGTCCAGAGAGCAAAATCAGATATTTTCTAGAAACTTGAGGCCACTATTTTTTTATATGCTAGATAATATACAAATATTGACATGTAAAGAATAATACGGGTGTATAATTCTGCAGAAATATAAATTCAAAGTATTTAAATTTTTCAAGAACCTTTTTAAAATCTTCCATAATGACTTCTTTCAATACTAGGTGGAAGCAATTTCAGTTAACAATAAAGCAGCACAAGGCAGTACCTTGAGCTGCGATGATCCATAACCAATCGGCACCTGCAATTTGATTGATCTTCGAGATGTACCCTGCCTCTGTTCCCTGACTTTCCCTTTTCGTTGTACCGGGTGAAGTGAATATTCTGTGAATATTCTTCTGAAAGTCAGTTTTTAGTTCTACATTATGTTGTCAATCAGATTTAATTGGTTCAAAAACCGTTGTATCATTCGCAGTCTACATCTCCACATGCGCACCCATACATGCTCAAAATTTTCACTACGTATGTACTATGTACCCTGCAGCGTATCCTGATGAAAAATGTTTTGTTGAGATCAGAGACACTTCCCAAGGTAGGCCATAGTCCATGGCCATATATTTAAGTCAAAACAGATGAAACAGATAAACACAATTCCAATCATCAAGTCAACCAGCATCGACAATCTGCACATAAGTTCTAAACCTATTGCAAGACTACTTTGTATTCAAACTTTGTATTGCAGAAGGGTGGAAGCTGCATGGAATTATGCGACAATTTCAGCGTGCATCCACGCTCGAAAGAGCAGGGTTAATTGTAACAATGTCAATACCATAACAATAACGTAATTGTAGGTGTTGTGATTCGGTTGTCTCTTGTCTGTGCTGGCCATTGCGCGGGCGGTCCAGCGGCGGAACTCGGCTTCGCCGCCGTGGCGCGCTGGCAGTTGCTTCTTCTTCTTCTTCTGCATCCCACCGCCAACCCGCTCAGGGGGGCGGCGGCGCAGGCGGGTCGGGCGGCGGCTCGGTCCGCCCAACATCCTCGATGAAGGTAACGACCTTCGTCGCCGGGCCGCCGAGGACGTCGACCAGGCGAGGGTCGACACCCCAGCGGCGGCGGCGGGCCGCCTCATAGGCCGGACAATCGGTCAGTAGGTGCGCCGCGCTGTCGGGCTCCCCGCACGCGGGGCATTCGTCGTCGGCTTCCGGGCCAATCTTGTGGAGCGTGTCACGGGTCAGCGGTGATGTGCCGGTCCTCAGCTGGGACAGCGTCACCGACCCCAGCGCCAGGGAGTCGTGGCCAGGCGTGGGGTCCGGGTGCGGGTGGGCAGCGGTTGCCCTCTGTCGCGACAGCTCCCGGACATGGCGCGTGACGGCGGCCCGCGCACTCGACAGGTCGATCGGTGCGCTGTCTTGGTCGCCCGCCGTGGCCTCGCCAGCCAGGCGGTCGGCGGTTTCGTTGCCGTCCAGCCCGGCATGGCCTGGCACCCACTGGAGCACCGTCTCGATGCCGTTCTCGGCGAGGGTGCTCAGCACTCAGCAGCCTCCACACCTCGGCGGCCAGGGCCATGGTCTGGTTAGCTGGGCCGCGGCCGAGTAGTTGGAGCCCAGACCTTGAGTCGGTGAGGAGGCGGACCGACTTGGTCGATGCCAACTCCCCGTCCTCCAGGCCGGCCACAGCCGCGAACGCCTCGCGCATGGCGGTCAGTTCTGCTCTTAGGCTGAAACAGACCGCCCCTGCAGGAGCGCGCACGGTCTCTTCTCTGTTGAGGTGGTGGAACTGGATCAGCGCCTGCGCCGCCCTGTTCCGTCCGCCGCGAGCCGAGCCGTCCGACCAGATAGTGACGTCCGGGTGCGGGAGCTCTGCAATGGCTCGCAGGGCAGCTTCCCTGCGGACTGCAGGCGGGTCCGACCGGCGGGTGGCCACGGGCAGGTCCACCCTGAAGGTGATGTCGCCGCGGTGGCCCAGCCATGGCGGGTCGCAGCTGTTGAACACCAAACCTGTAACACAATAGAATTGCAATTGTAACAAAGACCTGCATGGTCAGCACACATCTGCAGTGACTTTCATTCCAAGTTGGTATGAATTGGCACAAAGTTGGGTCATGGTAGCAGACGTAGCACAAGCTGTTGTGATATGCCATACCGTAGGACTAGGTCGTAGGTTGTAAATTTTAGGTTTAAGGCTGTAGGTTGTAGATCAGGTTAGGTAAGGTTTGGTTAGAAAGACCCATTCTCGTGCATCGGGCAGCTTGTGCTACATCTACCTTACCAATCAATACCCAATTTGAATTCCCAAAATTGATGGCAAACAGGATTTTTGTATAACAAGTGTGGTTAATTGTTCTAATCCCCGCTGCAATGTGAGTTGTTGTTGCTGTTTGTATCTTATCACTCTTGTAAACTCATTCATTTGGCACTTGTGGGCTCACTTTCCCGTTTGGATGTGTTCTCATCCATCGGGCGAGCTCTTTCTATGCGGGTTCCTTCCCTTCTCCCCATCCCTGCATTCATTTTGGCTACTCTCAGACCAAGGGAACCCCAAACAGGTGAGTTGAACAGGTGAGTTGAGGGTAACTGCTTTTCTACAATCACAATATTGGAATTCATATAGGTAGGTGTTTATATGTTCAGAAAATGACACAAAATATGACACAATTATAGCTGCAACTGGATAATGGATACCAACCTCAACTAAAAGTTTCTGCAGCCTTATAACCTAACAAATGACTAAATTGCCAAAATAAATCCCTTAGTACAATAGCTTGACTCTAAAATAACAGAAATTTTGCATGCAGACCCTGAAATGGAGGGTTTATGAAAAGTAACAAAAAAAAACATTCACTAATATCATTTCATATGTAGCATAAGCGCCAATACTATGTAACGGAAGTTGGCACAGATTCAGCACAGATTCAGCACAGCACAGATTCGGTAGGGGGAAAAAAGGCCCCGGTAGAGGGAAACCTTTATGACCCGTTTTCCCCTAGAAATGACGTCACAAAGAGGTAAAAATGGGTATCAATCGAAAGCTCTCGTTTACCCAGACACAGTCCTGCAGGAAAATTCCACTTTTTTCCCATAGGAAAGTTTTTACGGGAAAATCAAAATTTCGGGTCAATGGGGGTCCCCCCCGATTTCGATCAAAATCGGCACACAGGTGCCCCACCACCAGCCGAGAAACTTTCTCCAAAACGGTCCCCGTTGCATTGACGTTTAAGGCCCTTAAAGCCCCGTAAACTCGTAAAAAATCCGTAAATTCGCCCTTGTACGGCCAAAAACGGGGCGCTAGGGTAAAAATGGGTATCAATCGAAAGCTCTCGTTTACCCAGACACAGTCCTGCAGGAAAAGTCCACTTTTTCCCCATAGGAAAGTTTTTACGGGAAAATCAAAATTTCGGGTCAATGGGGGGTCCCCCCCGATTTCGTTCAAAATCGGCACACAGGTGCCCCACCACCAGCCGAGAAACTTTCCCCAAAACGGTCCCCGTTGCAATGACGTTTAAGGCCCGTAAAGCCCCCTAGACTCGTAAAATATCCGTAAAATCGCCTTTGTACGGACAAAAAAGTGGTGCTATGGTAAAAATGGGTATCAATCGAAAGCTCTCGTTTACCCAGATACAGTCCTGCAGGAAAATTCCACTTTTTCCCCCATAGGAAAGTTTTTACGGGAAAATCAAAATTTTGGGTCAATGGGGGGTCCCCCCGATTTCGTTCAAAATCGGCACACAGGTGCCCCACCACCAGCCGAGAAACTTTCCCCAAATGGTCCCCGTTGCATTGACGTTTAAGGCCCTTAAAGCCCCGTAAACTCGTAAAAAATCCGTAAATTCGCCCTTGTACGGCCAAAAACGGGGCGCTAGGGTAAAAATGGGTATCAATCGAAAGCTCTCGTTTACCCAGACACAGTCCTGCAGGAAAAGTCCACTTTTTCCCCATAGGAAAGTTTTTACGGGAAAATCAAAATTTCGGGTCAATGGGGGGTCCCCCCCGATTTCGTTCAAAATCGGCACACAGGTGCCCCACCACCAGCCGAGAAACTTTCCCCAAAACGGTTCCCGTTGCATTGACGTTTAAGGCCCGTAAAGCCCCCTAGACTCGTAAAATATCCGTAAAATCGCCTTTGTACGGACAAAAAAGTGGTGCTATGGTAAAAATGGGTATCAATCGAAAGCTCTCGTTTACCCAGATACAGTCCTGCAGGAAAATTCCACTTTTTCCCCATAGGAAAGTTTTTACGGGAAAATCAAAATTTTGGGTCAATGGGGGGTCCCCCCGATTTCGTTCAAAATCGGCACACAGGTGCCCCACCACCAGCCGAGAAACTTTCCCCAAAACGGTCCCCGTTGCATTGACGTTTAAGGCCCTTAAAGCCCCGTACAATCGTAAAAAATCCGTAAAT